TCAAAATTTCTGTCATAAAAATGGGTTTTTATTATTTTAGTCACTAATTCAGCTCTCGCAGTAAAAAATTAGAACAACCATGGTAAAAGTAAGTATGGGCGTTTTAAGTTTTGGTTGTCAGCTGCAAAAAACAGTAATTGTTTTAGACGTGCCGCTTGTTTTGATAAAGTTACAGTTAAAAAAGCGGCAAAAAATCGTATCTCTCTGCTGTCAAAAGGTCGTATACTTGATTTCGAGCCTAAAATATCAGTATTTTATTCATTACACAGCCAAAAATGGTCCAAACATGGAATGTCATATCTCGTAGGACTCGAAATTTGATTGCTATCATTCCCATTCGGGTTGCGTTCAAGTCTGGGACACTTAAATTTTTTCAATTTTTCGCAAATTTTGATGATGGTACCCCTTATAAAAATGCGAAATTTGAGCAAAAATTAATTTTCTCAAAATCGAAAAACGAGTGATAGGGGTGGTAAGTGATGGTCGTTAGCAGCACAAAACAGTCGTTCTCTTGGCTGTAAGTCTTGTTTTGACCAAGATAGAGCTGGAAAACCGGAAGTAATATTCAAAATTTCTGTCAAAAAAATGGGTTTTTAATATTTTAGTCACTAACTCAGCTCTCGCAGTAAAAAATAAGAACAGTCATGGTAAAAGTAAGTATGGGCGTTTCAAGTTTTGGTAGTCAGCTGCATAAAACAGTAATTGTTTTAGACGTTCCGCTTGTTTTAATAAAGTTACAGTTAAAAAAGCGGCAAAAAATCGTATCTCTCTGCTGTCAAAAGGTCGTATACTTGATTTCGAGCCTAAAATATCAGTATTTTATTCATTACAAAGCCAAAAATGGTCCAAACATGGAATGTCATATCTCGAAGGCCTCGTAATTTGATTGCTATCATTCCCATTCGGGTTGCGTTCAAATCTGAAACACTTCAATTTTTTCAATTTTTCGCAAATTTTGATGATGGTACCCTTTATAAAAATGCGAAATTCGAGCAAAAATTAATTTTCTCAAAATCGAAAAACGAGTGATAGGGCTGGTAAGTGATGGTCGTTAGCAGCACAAAACAGTCGTTCTCTTGGCTGTAAGTCTTGTTTTGACCAAGATAGAGCTGGAAAACCGGAAGTAATATTCAACATTTCTGTCATAAAAATGGGTTTTTATTATTTTAGTCACTAATTCATCTCTCGCAGTAAAAAAATAGAACAATCATGGTAAAAGTAAGTATGGGCGTTTTAAGTTTTGGTTGTCAGCTGCAAAAAACAGTAATTGTTTTAGACGTTCCGCTTGTTTTAATAAAGTTACAGTTAAAAATGCGGCAAAAAATCGTATCTCTCTGCTGTCAAAAGGTCGTATACTTGATTCCGAGAATAAATTTTAATATTTTGTTCATTACAAAGCAAAAAATGGTCCAAACATGGAATGTCATATCTTATAATATCAAGATATCAAGATAGAGGTGTAAAACCGCAAGTAATATACCAAATTTCTGTCAAAAAAATGGGTTTTTGATATTTTAGTCACTAACTCAGCTCTCGCAGTAAAAAATAAGAACAATCATGGTAAAAGTAAGTATGGGCGTTTTAAGTTTTGGTTGTCAGCTGCATAAAACAGTCATTGTTTCAGACGTGCCGCTTGTTTTGACAAATTTACAGTTAAAAAACGGCAAAAAATCGTGTTTCTCTGCTGTCAAAAGGTCGTATACTTGATTCCGAGCCTAAAATATAAGTATTTTGTTCATTACAAAGTCAAAAATGGTCCAAACATGGAATGTCATATTTCGAAGGCCTCGTAATTTGATTGCTATCATTCCCATTCGGGTTGCGTTCAAATCTGAAACACTTCAATTTTTTCAATTTTTCGCAAATTTTGATGATGGTACCCCTTATAAAAATGCGAAATTCGAGCAAAAATTAATTTCCTCAAAATCGAAAAACGAGCGATAAGGGTGGTAAGTGATGGTCGTTAGCAGCACAAAACAGTCGTTCTCTTGGCTGTAAGTCTTGTTTTGACCAAGATAGAGCTGGAAAACCGGAAGTAATATTCAACATTTCTGTCATAAAAATGGGTTTTTATTATTTTAGTCACTAATTCAGCTCTCGCAGTAAAAAATTAGAACAACCATGGTAAAAGTAAGTATGGGCGTTTTAAGTTTTGGTTGTCAGCTGCATAAAACAGTAATTGTTTTAGACGTGCCGCTTGTTTTGATAAAGTTACAGTTAAAAAAGCGGCAAAAAATCGTATCTCTCTGCTGTCAAAAGGTCGTATACTTGATTTCGAGCCTAAAATATCAGTATTTTATTGATTACACAGCCAAAAATGGTCCAAACATGGAATGTCATATCTCGAAGGCCTCGTAATTTGATTGCTATCATTCCCATTCGGGTTGCGTTCAAATCTGAAACACTTCAATTTTTTCAATTTTTCGCAAATTTTGATGATGGTACCCCTTATAAAAATGCGAAATTCGAGCAAAAATTAATTTCCTCAAAATCGAAAAACGAGCGATAGGGGTGGTAAGTGATGGTCGTTAGCAGCACAAAACAGTCGTTCTCTTGGCTGTAAGTCTTGTTTTGACCAAGATAGAGCTGGAAAACCGGAAGTAATATTCAACATTTCTGTCATAAAAATGGGTTTTTATTATTTTAGTCACTAATTCAGCTCTCGCAGTAAAAAATTAGAACAACCATGGTACAAGTAAGTATGGGCGTTTTAAGTTTTGGTTGTCAGCTGCATAAAACAGTAATTGTTTTAGACGTGCCGCTTGTTTTGATAAAGTTACAGTTAAAAAAGCGGCAAAAAATAGTATCTCTCTGCTGTCAAAAGGTCGTATACTTGATTTCGAGCCTAAAATATCAGTATTTTATTCATTACACAGCCAAAAATGGTCCAAACATGGAATGTCATATCTCGTAGGCCTCGAAATTTGATTGCTATCATTCCCATTCGGGTTGCGTTAAAGTCTGGGACACTTAAATTTTTTCAATTTTTCGCAAATTTTGATGATGGTACCCCTTATAAAAATGCGAAATTCGAGCAAAAATTAATTTCCTCAAAATCGAAAAACGAGCGATAAGGGTGGTAAGTGATGGTCGTTAGCAGCACAAAACAGTCGTTCTCTTGGCTGTAAGTCTTGTTTTGACCAAGATAGAGCTGGAAAACCGGAAGTAATACTCAAAATTTCTATCAAAAAAATGGGTTTTTAATATTTTAGTCACTAACTCAGCTCTCGCAGTAAAAAATAAGAACAGTCATGGTAAAAGTAAGTATGGGCGTTTCAAGTTTTGGTAGTCAGCTGCATAAAACAGTAATTGTTTTAGACGTTCCGCTTGTTTTAATAAAGTTACAGTTAAAAAAGCGGCAAAAAATCGTATCTCTCTGCTGTCAAAAGGTCGCATACTTGATTCCGCTCTCGCAGTAAAAAATTAGAACAACCATGGTAAAAGTAAGTATGGGCGTTTTAAGTTTTGGTTGTCAGCTGCATAAAACAGTAATTGTTTTAGACGTGCCGCTTGTTTTGATAAAGTTACAGTTAAAAAAGCGGCAAAAAATCGTATCTCTCTGCTGTCAAAAGGTCGTATACTTGATTTCGAGCCTAAAATATCAGTATTTTATTCATTACACAGCCAAAAATGGTCCAAACATGGAATGTCATATCTCGAAGGCCTCGTAATTTGATTGCTATCATTCCCATTCGGGTTGCGTTCAAATCTGAAACACTTCAATTTTTTCAATTTTTCGCAAATTTTGATGAGGTACCCCTTATAAAAATGCGAAATTCGAGCAAAAATTCATTTTCTCAAAATCGAAAAACGAGTGATAGGGGTGGTAAGTGATGGTCGTTAGCAGCACAAAACAGTCGTTCTCTTGGCTATAAGTCTTGTTTTGACCAAGATAGAGCTGGAAAACCGGAAGTAATATTCAACATTTCTGTCATAAAAATGGGTTTTTATTATTTTAGTCACTAATTCAGCTCTCGCAGTAAAAAAATAGAACAATCATGGTAAAAGTAAGTATGGGCGTTTTAAGTTTTGGTTGTCAGCTGCAAAAAACAGTAATTGTTTTAGACGTGCCGCTTGTTTTGATAAAGTTACAGTTAAAAAAGCGGCAAAAAATCGTATCTCTCTGCTGTCAAAAGGTCGTATACTTGATTCCGAGCCTAAAATATAAGTATTTTGTTCATTACACAGCCAAAAATGGTCCAAACATGGAATGTCATATCTCGAAGGCCTCGTAATTTGATTGCCATCATTCCCATTCGGGTTGCGTTCAAATCTGAAACACTTCAATTTTTTCAATTTTTCGCAAATTTTGATGATGGTACCCCTTATAAAAATGCGAAATTCGAGCAAAAATTCATTTTCTCAAAATCGAAAAACGAGTGATAGGGGTGGTAAGTGATGGTCGTTAGCAGCACAAAACAGTCGTTCTCTTGGCTGTAAGTCTTGTTTTGACCAAGATAGAGCTGGAAAACCGGAAGTAATATTCAACATTTCTGTCATAAAAATGGGTTTTTATTATTTTAGTCACTAATTCAGCTCTCGCAGTAAAAAATTAAAACAATCATGGTAAAAGTAAGTATGGGCGTTTTAAGTTTTGGTTGTCAGCTGCAAAAAACAGTAATTGTTTTAGACGTGCCGCTTGTTTTGACAAAGTTACGTTACGTATACTTGATTTCGAGCCTAAAGAATCAGTATTTTCATTACAAAGCCAAAAATGGTCCAAAAATGGAATGTCATGACACTTGAATTTTTTACACTTTTCGCAAATTATGATAATGGTACCCCTAATAAAAATGCGAAATTCGAGCAAAAATTAATTAATTTTTTAGTATTGGTCGTTAGCATCACAGCACAACAGTCGTTCTTTTGGCTGTGTGTCTTATTTCGACCAAGATAGAGCTAGAAAGCCGCAAGTGATTTTGCAAATATCTGCATCTGTCGGTTATACTTAAAGGCATTTTAAAGCCAAAGATATTATATTTTATAAATAAAAATAACTATTTTTAGAGAGGCAACAAATAATTTATTTATGTACGTATATTAAAACGGAGCTTAGAACTAGCAAATAATCGAGCAAAGGCTTACCGTACAAGTATTATTGGCTTAATATCGGGGCTACAATATAATTTCGCTAGTAAATTCATGGGCAGGTGACTAACTTAGGGATACGAAATGCAGTGTAAAACAAGTTAAATGCGTATAACAACTATCTTAGGGGCAAGTTGTGACTAGTGTTAGTGACTAGGATGAGAGTGATCGAGTGATCGAGACATCTCGCCTCAGGACTCGCCGCACATCTTGCGCAGCGACTCGGTTAACACTCAGAAGGCGACCATAGATGGACTTCGGCTGTTGCGCAGGGGCGTGAGAAGCGGCGTGGCAGGACTGCTGGCGCGGCTGAAGCAACTGGAACAGCAACTTGAGGCCTCCTCGGCCTCGCCCTCAGCGTTGGCTTTGTGGTGATACGGAATTGGTCGCTTCCGAGCACTGTAAGTAAAATGAATGTATTAGTAAACGATTTTTGCATTTCGCTAAATGACCGAAAATTAAATGAATACAACTTACCAAACTGAAAATTGTAATGAACTCAAGAAACTTTGGCTAAAAATAAAACAAAGGAAATCCTAAAAAATCATCTAATCGGTAGTTTACAAAATTTATTTGAGGTTTGGCTAAAAAACCATAAAAATTACGTCACATAAGTGGATAGCTACATAAGTAAGTTCAAGAAAGTGATGGATAACTAAAAGTGAAATTAAAAGTAGTTCCTGAGCCAGCTGAAAAAAATGAATAAGATAAAATCAGGAGTTACGTGTATAAAAAGAGTGAAAAATCAATGTAACTCAAGCGGATAATGGATAAGAGCAGCCAACTAGCGCCTTGTGCTGCGCGGCGATCGACGGCTACGGAATTAAAGAAATAAAATATAAAACAAGGAGTTAAGTTATAAAAAATAAATTAACCAAGGCAGAGAAGGAATCCCGTCTAGCTACCTCGTTATGCGACGTCGGTCCAGAAAGCTCGGAGAGCCGCGACGTCTTGGGATCGATGGTGACCGAGAGCCGGACTGTGACGATCCGGAGCCGCTGTCGGAGGAGGAGCTGCCCGAGCTGCTGTGTGAGGAGCAACTGGAGCGGGAAGAGTGCGACCCGGAGCGAGATCTGGAACTGCGCGATCCACTTCGACTACTGGATGAGCTATACCGCCTAAGAAGAGAGTTGAAATCACGAATTATTATAAGAACTTTTTTAAATCCAATTATTTATACGGTTTTATATTTTCTACGCTTTAACAGTAAAGATAATAATAAGCTTTCCTAATTATACTTACGATCTCGAGCGGCTGCTGGAGTGATGACGATGACGGCTTCCGCTAGTGCGTCGCTTGCTGCGACTCCGGCTCCGACGCTCACGACTCCGGCTCCTTCGAGCCGCACTCTCCGCCGCTGCAGCCGCCGCCACAGTGGCCGTAGAAACCTTGGAGACAATAGCATCCACCAGCGAGCTATCCGCAAGCGCTGCGACTAGGGGCTGTGGATCGTGAATTTTGAAGGGTTTTATAACGATTTTCGGTTTCTGTTGGTGTTGATGGTGATGATGATGGTAGCTAATACTATTGGCAGCCACGGCCGCAGCCGCTGCCGCCGCATTGAAGCTAATGGTACCGCCGCCACCCCGAACATGTGGTGGATGACCCAACAGCGGAGCACCTTGCCCACCCACGCCCACACCCGCTCCCGTCAGGGACAGAAGCCCCGGATGCCGGGGTCCGTGTCCGAAGAGAGCCGAGTTATAGACTAAGCCACGGGCCAGATGGTGCTGCTGTTGTTGCAAGTTGTGCTGGTGGTTCTTGCAGATGTTGTAGTGGGTGGCAGTTAGCAGGGGACCATGATTCAGTCGGTTGGTGGTGCGGTTGTATGTGCCTGGCGTGCCCGCCAGGAAGGGCAGCATGCCCGGGTTGTTGCCACCATTCCCGCTGCTATTACTATTGTTAGGATTCGAATGAGGTATTCCGCCACCACCACATGCATGAGGGTTGTTAGTACTATGTCTACTGTTAGGGTTATTGTTCAACGTGCGATTGTGGAATACGCGCTTTCCCGGAGGATGCTGCGGATGTTGCTGCTGCTGCTGCGTTTGGTGATGCAGGTGCTGTGGAGGTGGCCTGTGATGCATGTGGATCTTGTGAACCACTGTCGGACTCTTGGCCTCGCCATTCGCCGCCACGTGGGACGTCTTGCAAATGGGCGGTGTGCTGGTGTCCCTTTTCTTGAGCGGCTCCTCCACAGACACGGACAGCTCCTGATCCGAATCCCGTAACTGCGCCTTCTCCTTGCGCTGATCCAGCGGTAAGATCACCGCCAAGGGAGGCGGCGGCGTAGTTGTCAGCGTTAGCGGGGTCGTTGTCAGTGGGTTAATCAAAGCAGTCACATTGTTAGCAACAAGGAATTCGTTTAGCGAGTTACGTTTAGTAGCCGTCAGCAGTTCGCTGCCACTTACTTCGCTGCCCTCTTTGGCCGGGTCCTTTTCCATAATCCTGATCTTCTGCTTTGCCTTGGCCGCAATCCCGGACTTTAGCTGCTCTAACATTCTAAGTTCCTGCTGTTCTTCGCGCTCACGTCTGCTCTGCTGAAATTCCTCCAAGGCAGTACCGTCTACTCCTGTTTCGGTATCGCTGGCATCGTCGCTTTGTGCCCTTAAACGCACCACTGGTGCAGGCTTTGTCGCGGGTGCTTCCCTAGCCTTTGACGGACGCTTCTTATCCTGGAGGATGTCCTGGTAGCGTTCCGGATGCCGTTCTGCAGGCGAGTAGCGCAACTCTGAAGAACTTGACCGAGAACGACGCCTCGTCGACTTCGGACTTGATTCCACTACCTTGCTCTTTAACTTGGACAAGTGCGGGGAACTTGAACGCTCACGTTTTACACTTCTACGGCGCTCTTTCTTGGGACTAACCTCCTTCTTCACATCTTTCTGTTCTGGCGTCCTACTCTTCTTTTTTTGCTTTTTGGGAGTGGGCTTAGGTGATGGCGTTCGGGAAGCGGACGAGCTACTACTGGAGCTGTCGGAGTCCGAGCTAGAGCTGGAAGCCGCCCTCTGACGCTTAGTCTTCTCTAGCGCCACCATAACCGACTTTGTGCCCAATATATCGTTGACGGTGTCCTCGGCTGCTTTAAAGGGATTGAACGCTGGTGTCGGTAGCAACTTTTTGGGCGGCGCCTCTGGGGAATGAGCCGGCGATTTTGATTGGGTGTTTAGGCTTATCTTAGCGTCATCAGTTTTTTTCCTGATCGTATTAGATAGAGACCGCTGACGGCGATCGTCTCTTTTATTAGGACTGCAGCCTTTGGGCGAATTTGCAGGCCTGGACTCATTGGCAGTACGTTCCCTAGATCGCTGCCTCTCTTTGGGTCGTTTTCTGTCCTTAGATCGTGGTCTTTCTTTGGATCTTTGCCTTTCTTTTAATCCTTGATTCTCCTTTGATCTATGTCTCTCTTTGGATCGTTGTCTTTCCCTTGATCGTAGCCTATCCTTTGATCGTTGTTTCTCCTTAGAACGTTGCCTCTCCTTTGATCTATGTCTTTCCTTGGATCGTTGCCTCTCCTTTGGCCGTTCCTTCTCCATGGAGCGTTGTCTTTCCTTGGACCGTTGCCTCTCCTTGGATCGTCGCGTCTCGTTGTATCGCAGCTTTTCCTTTAATCTGTCCTTGGATCTATCCCGCCTTTTATCGACAGATTGTTTCACATCCCTGGATCTGGGACTTTCCTTAGATCGTTGATTATCCTTGGACTTGGACCGCTGTCTGTCCTTCGATCGGTGTCCTTCCTTAGATTTTTGCCTTTCCTTGGATTTGGACCTCTGTCTTTCCTTGGATCGTTGTCTATCTTTAGATTTTTGTCTTTCCTTTGACTTGGAGAGCTGTCTCTCTTTGGATCGCTGTTTTTCCTTTGAACGATTTCTTTCTTTAGAACGCAGTCTTTCTCTTGATCTGTGCCTATCCTTGGATCGCTGCCTATCCTTTGAGCGTTCCAGCTGCCTGTCTTTTGAGCGTTCTCTTTGCCTTTCCGGCTCCTTACGTGGTGGGGTAACGGCCGACCGTTCCCTTCCCTTGTGATATCTACTGTCGAGTGAGGATTCTTGTGGTCGGGCTTTCGAGTCCTTTCGACGCTCGCGAGACCGGCTGCGTTTAGCATTGTCGTCCTGATGCAAAACCTTTTCACCGGACTCATTGGATCCTTTTACCAGACGGGAGTTATCCGATTTATCCTCCTTAAGCGATGGAGAGCTAAAGAAATAATATTACATTTTTGGTTTAAGAATTATCAGAAGAGTGAACTTACACTGACCGCTCTGAATCCGTGGAGTTGGCACGGGCGCGTGTCTTCTTTTTCAGCTTCTTGTCTCGTTTTTTCTGCATAATAAAAGAGTGTGGAGTATTAGCGGACTGACTTAAATGCTAGGTGCTCTTGCTAAGAGTCTAACTGTTAGCAGTAATGTCAAACATAGTTCATTCTTTATGGCATGATAGACATATGAAGTTTGAGTTTGGTGCTTAAAATTTTGCAGCATTTGACTTTCGCAAGCATTCTCTCTAGGACTGGAAACTGTTTTTTTTGTTTTTTTTTTTTACAAGTTTTTATCGGCTTCGGACACTTTGCACTAGTTATCTTATGGTTGTTTATTAGTAGCTTAAAGAAAACAGTCAAATGAAAGTACTTACAAAACTACAAGAGAGCCATTGAAAGCTATCCTATATCAATGAAGCGCCAAGGGTTTTTATAAACAAAATATAAATTTCTTTTTGTTTCTTGAATTTACTTAAATTACTTGGGTTGATTTTGTTGGAAAAACAATCTACGTGTAACTGAAAACAGCTTTAAATAATTTAAAAAAAAATTTGGAAACCAAAACAGATTAAGAGGCCATCCCCAGTAATCTGAAACATTCTGGGAAGGAGCAGCAGATGTGGACAGCCCCTTAAAAAATGAATTTCTTCTAAGCTTCTATACAAAATAAATAAAAGTAAATAATTCAGAGATAAATCATAAGGTTATACTAGAATGCGTTTGAAGCCTCTTTACCTTTTACAATATTTGTGGGTGATTTTTCTGGCAATTTATTTGTTTACTAATAAAGTTGTATGCTTTAGTATTTATAAGGTAGAGAACGTTTTATATGCAGGATTATAGATCAGTACTTGGTTATTTTGTCAATCGTTATTTTGAATGTTTCATTTGGTGGAAAAAGAAGTAAATAAGCAAGAGAAGAAATGGCGTATGTTTAATATTTGGTGAACAATTGAAACAACGAAACGAAAAGTCAAACGAGTTATCATCATATACAGGTAATAATATTTATGTAAATATATAGAGAGGCAGTACTTCCATTCGAATTTTTTGGTCAGACGTATTAATTAGTTGGTTGTTAGTCAAAGGATGAGTCGTACAATAAAGGAATAGAAATATGCATATGTTACAATATTTGCGGGTGTGTGTGTCTTGGAGAGAGAGCGTCAGAGCTGGACTCTTTATTCAAGAGTTTGGTTTATACGATCTCATACAAGGTTAATAAGCATATCTTGGAGCCGTTGACCAATGAGATATGCACACCATCTCCAGTTATTGGCTTTCTCTCCTCGCACCATTCTCCACGTATCGATAGCTTTAATTCAACATTCTCGGGGTCCTAGCCCTTGCATACCTTGTCCTTCTTGGCCTTTTTTCTGGCACTCTTCGTCTCGCGCCGATCTTCATCGCTGCTATCATTCTCATCATCACTATCCTTGTGGCTATCCTGTCCACTCTCGCTGTGTTTGCGCTTACGCGACTTTTTCTTCTTCGACTTACTGCAAATAGAAGGTTAGACCCCATTAAGAATTGGTTGATCCATAAATAGACTTATTTGTCAGCTTTTTAAGTGTTTTAGGTGCTTGCTACGACACACAGATTGGACAAGGCTCTGTCGGTAGCCCTAGAGCTCCAAAATACTGGTTAGCAGCAATATATAAATAGGTTTACTTGTGGTTCAGTGCTTTACCTTCATCGAAAACTGCGCAAATTGCTTTGTCTTAACATTATAGAAGGTAATTATAACAATAGAAAGAAAGATGAGAAAGTAATTCGCTTTTAATTTTTGCAACACACAGAGATACCTCTTAACTTTATCGTTTATTGTATTGTTTTAGTTTCTAGTTGTTCTTTACTTTTGTTGTGTTTTGTATTTTAGTTGGCAATGCAGTTTCTATGTTTTTTATAGATTGTAGAATCGAATCATTACTTACCGCCAGAGTTGGGGGAAATGTGAATGGGCGAGTTGTGAGGAAAATAGCTGTGATCAGTTATGGTTAGTTTAGGTTTGGTTGGGTTGGGTTGGGATTGGGTTTCGAGTTTGTGTGTATAATGTGTTGGCTAGTGGAGAACCCATACGTACTTAGATCCCTGATCACTCTACTCACTCTCGCTGCACACGGATTTAAATAAAAGATTGTCTTGGCAAGTGTTAGGATATCGAAAGTATATATTGCAGAAAGGCATTTGAAACATTTCACTTGATTGGATTGGTTCTTATAGATTGTAGGATAGTGTTAGCTCGGTTAAAACTAAGTGTGAGTCATTTGTACGTGGCTTTTCGCTTCTTTTTACTTTCTTTCTCATATGAGTCCCTTTTGTGGTTTCAAATGCAATGTAAAAGAAGGAGTAGAGACGAAAAACAAAATGTATTAAGCAGTTGATTGATAGTTACATAGTATCATTGGTTTTTCGCGCTCTAAGCGCACGTGTTTACAATTTACTATGTACGATAAGAAACAAAACGAAAATCGTGACTGTAGAGTCCAAACAAAGAGCAAAAGAAACAAACACAGAGCTACGGTTGTCGAGGGGTCGAAGTTTTATATTCCGGCCAGGGCTCTTACCTCTCTTTCTTGTGCTTCTTCGACTTTTTCTTCTTATCCTTCTTGCGCTCAGGACTGGCCGAACTGGAAACGAAAACATACAAGTTAGTACAATATTTTCGGTAAAAGTTCTCATCTATTCACCTTTCTCTGGCGCGCTTCTTTCGCTTCTTCTTGTCCGACTTAGAGACGTGGTCGCGCTCATCACCACTGGCAGCCGCATCGCCTCCATCGCGTTCCCGTTCGCGAGAAGGAGTGCGTACGAGGGCATACCGCTTCCCAGTCTCCTTGTCCTTGCCCGCAGCGGCAGCTGCCGCCGCTGCCAGGCTTTCGCGCTGGGCGTCCAGTTCCTTTTGCAAAGCCACGCTTTTGGCCAGGTCCTCCTTCGCCTTGCGATCGCTATCGAAACTGCTGCCTTCCACGAAGTACTCGGATATGTTGAAGGCCTCGCGCAGCTTGGCGTTCTTCTGCTGCTGAGCCTCAGCTATTTGATGGGTGTCACGAGCACTGTAAGCATAAAACACACGAAATTATTATCAATGGTGTAATTAAATTTTTTCTAAAATAAGTTATGTTTGCCAATGTCTTAGTGAATTTTGGCTGCAATTAAATATTAATTCCATAATTCGTTTTAAACTTTAACGGTTGGCTACCTTCGTGCCACTGCACTGCCGGCTCCCAGCAGTGTCTCCAGCAAGCTGCTCGAGGAATACTTGAGCAGCTCGAGCAGAACGCTGCCGTCGATATTTATTTTTGCTTGTGACGCAGGCAGCTCCTTCTGGATGAAGGGCTCAGCTGTTCGATGGCCCGGCTCAGGTGCCGGCTCGGGCTCTTTGTGTTGGCACGCGCAGGCGCAATCCTGGTGCGACCTTTTGGAGACTGCTGGCCGCCTGGTCTTGTTGGCGCCGCTTGCCAACGCCGGCCGCAAGGGCTTGAACTTCCTGGCCACCGCTGCATAGTTCCACGTGTGGGCGGTCAAACGGAAGCTCTCGTATTTGGCCAGGTATTCCCGGTTGTCGTGTTGGAAATACGGTGCCTTACTCTTCCTGCCCCCGTTTGCAGAGGCAACCGGAGCGGAGCTAAGGTTCTCCCCAGTTTGGTGGCGTGGACTGGTCGAGTTGCTACCGGTGCTGGTAGTGATATTGATGGTGGTGCTCTTTTTGGTGGGGGTGGTGATTGCGTGACCTGCGCGTTTTCGTCGCTTGCGGCGTTTCTTCGGTTTCACTACCTGCACTAGGGTGGCTGCCATCGTTGTTGTGGTCGTTGATGCAGTGGCCACCGAAGCAGTCGTTGTGCTCCCCACAGCCGCAGAAGCCGTGGATGTTGTGGCGTTACTATATATATCAGAGGAGAGCATGCTGTCTTAGACTGACAGATTTTTTTTTCGAGTTATAAATTTTTTTTTTCTTTTCTAATTTTTTTGATTCTATAAATGTGGAAGACCGTGGATTTACATTTTTCTTTAAATCTTTTATTTTTATGTTTATTTCGCGGTTTTATTCATGAGTTTTTATTTTATTTAAAAAATATATATTTTCACTTTATGTTCACATCATGTTTTCCAAAGATAGGCGATTTCTTTAATAAATATAAGCTTTTTGGTTTTATTTTAATTTCGCGATTTTATATGTTTTAAAATGTGTTACGCGTTGAAGAGTAAATTTATAAATCCATGTTATTGGAAGACATTGGATTTTAATATTTATGCTTTATATAAATACAAAAATATTTGTTATTTGGTTAATTTTATATTCATCGGTTACGATTGGAAGACGATGGATTAGCATATACTTAGTTTCACTTTGGGCTACATTACGTAAGGCCCGTAACGCGTTAAATAATATTGTGTATCCTTATGGAAGACGTTGGATAATTTTTAGGAGACAATGGATTAGAATTTGTATAATTATTGAAATTACTCCGTTTACTGCAACTTCGCGCACTTGCCTGTATCACCTCGCGACTTAGACTAATTAATTACTGACTATGTTTGGAAGACTTATTTAGTGATTTGTTGCATTCGTTCGGCTTAGGTATCAAGTGTTGCCTCGGTCGGCCATGATACCATTTCAATAGGGCCCCACTCTTAGCACTTGCAACAACCACTAGAATAGTAGACACAACGACGACGACATGAGCGCTTAATCCACCGCTTGACAGCGGGTTGCAATGCTGATTTAGGGGTGGACCAAGGGATGCCAACCACCACCATCACCACCGGCACTGGAGTTCCCTTAAGCGGGTGAATTTTCTTTGACACTCCTCCTCTGGCACACTTGAAGGGCTGCCTGGTTGCCGAGCACTCCCTCCCGATCATTGGGAAACGCGTTTTATTTTTGTTTCATTTTTGATTAGTCGGCGTATAGTTGCATTTCCTGCCTGGCTTCTGAAAGGGCGGTTATTGATTTTTCCAGCGATTTTCCAACGCTTATCGGGCTCTTTTTTCCGGGTCCCCTACGGCGACTCCTATGCGCCAAATTCATCGCCTGCTTTTCCCTGTCCTTGCCAAGGACACTGGGTCGGTCGTTTTAACAGGCTTTAATTGCTTATAATTTAAATGTACATATATCTAAGTGCTACGCGGCGATTCCTGAGCGTGTTGGCCAACTTGCTGTGGCTTTGGAAGACTTGAAGTGACTGAAAGCTGAGCGCATCCCGGAAAATCTTCGCAGCAGCATTTTCTCTACCACTCGTCGATTGTGATTGGCCCCCTGTTAAAGGGGGTGGTGAACTGGGAGCTGCGGCGGCGCATGTCTCCTCTTGTATGTAGTTTACAGCTGTCGTGAGATGGCCGAGATTTTACCAGGCCGTCGTTTTGTTTAACCGTTTATTGATTTGTCAACTGGGCGCACGTTTTATTTTAAATTACATAAGATATAAAAGGCGTGCTACTTACGCTACGCGTCCAAATTCATCCTTAGTCAGATCTGTTTTTCCCTGTCCCATCAATTTCTGGCGGAAGGAGTCCACATGCGTCTTTATTTCCTCCGGTGTGCGTCTGTGAACGTAGAGTTTAGACGGATAAGTATATTCAGGGGATAATACTTTAAAGGTCCTAAATATACCTTTTAGACTATCTTAACTAATTGTATCACGTTTAAATGGGGAGTTTGCACTAAAATTTTATAGGCTGCAAGTTAAACTACTAGTGCTTGGATTTTTGTCCGCTTGCCCGGACATGCGGATGTCTTCCACTCAAAATAATCTCTACAACTGAAATGCATTTTTTCACCACCAACCAAGTCCAGGCCACCGGAAGAGTGCTCACATGTGACGCATCGAGGGGGTGGAGACCGCCCTGCCCGCTTAAGGGTGGCTAGCAACCGGGCTGGGGGTTGTTCAATGCTCATTTCGGCGCGTGTGCGTTAGCTCTCTTGCAGGAAAGAGTAACTACCAGGCGCCAATGTAAACATAAACAGAGGAGAAAGCAACAGACCCAAACCGGCGTTATATAACTGGGGATTGGCATTACATACGCCATGTAATTGCGAATATTCCCTGCTTACCCCTGTTGCTCAAGAATCTCCTCAAACTCCAGGCACTTGACTTCGATCTTGCGCTTGCGGTCGTGGTCAAGGATCTCCTTGTTAGGGGGCCTATTCAACTGGGCATCCAGCTTCTTGGTGTCATCCTCGGCGCGGTAGTCCTTGTCCTTCTTCCCGGGACGCACACATGCCCAGTTCCGTTGCACATGGCCGTTAGTGCCGGAGCCACGAGGCGTGGTTAGTCCAATGCCGTTGTACATACTGATCGATGTCCTGTGAGCCGCTCTATAACATCAACAATTCTTGGCGGACACTGGGTGCTCCGCGAGCGCTACAATTTTACACAGGGAAAATCGATTATGTTCCAAAGATACTTTCTTCCAGGTTGCTTGGTTTATATACCTGTACAGAACCAATAGTACTGTAATCCAAGCGCTGGGTCCTTATTATGATGCTATGCCTACTTTTATTAAAATTTTATGCCAAAATATGGGAAAATATGCACAAGAATGCCGCCGCTGTTAGAGATGGTAGATAACTAGACTTTGACGGACCAGAAAACACAGCTGGTGGTATTTTGTAGACTCCCTAAAACGGTAACACTCTATTTTGCAAACGTAAACAAATTTAAGCATTAATAATAAGTCACTAAATTTTAATCTTAAAACAAGCCATAAAAATGAGCGATGCGGAGGAAACAAAATCAAAAGAAACCACTAAGGTTTTCTTCAAGAAATCCGGCAGAAAAAACTTAAGACAACGAAAGAACTCTGACGATGAAGAGAAGGAGGAACAGTATGTAATTAATATCATAAAAGTTCAGAAAATCAAAATATATTTTTCTATTCAGACTAACCCTAGATGAGATCAAGGAGCGCCAGCGTCTAAGACAGCGACCCAATGGAGTCAGTTTAGTAGGACTAGCACTGGGCAAGAAGATCGCTCCCGAAGAAGAGCTGGCCATCAAGGATCCTTTTAATGTGAAGACTGGTGGCTTGGTCAATATGCAGCAGTTAAAATCTGGCAAGATGAAAGAGGTAGACGACGCCTACGACGTTGGCATTGGCACACAGTTTTCGGCAGAAACAAACAAGCGTGATGAAGACGAGGAGATGATGAAGTATATTGAGCAGGAGCTGCAAAAACGTAAGGGAGGAGGCACAGAAGCTCCAGCCGAGGACGATGGGGATGTGAACAAATACTTGACGCCCGAGGATGCTGCTTTGTACGCTCTGCCCGACCATCTGAGACAGTCCTCATCGCACAGATCCGAAGAGATGTTGTCCAATCAGATGCTGAATGGTATTCCTGAAGTTGACCTAGGCATTTCGGCTAAAATCCGCAACATAGAGGCCACTGAAGAGGCAAAGCAGAAGCTGCTACAGGATGCCAAGAACAAAAAAGACGGTCCCTCACAGTTTGTTCCTACCAATATGGCTGTGAACTTCATGCAGCACAATCGATGTAAGTTAACAAAACTCGATCATCCATAAATATGAATATCACTTTTTTTTTTATTTCCAGTTAACATCGAGGAAAACAGCGATCAAAGGAGGCGTAAAAGAGAGGAAAAAGATGGCAAGTCGGCTCACCATCAGACGAATCCCAATGGAGTCAAGAGAGCTACGGATGACTACCATTATGATAAATTTAGGAAACAATTTCGACGATATTAAAGGAGCGAGCAATAAAAAATGCAATGGTTTTAAGTGCAAAAATTTCTTTAAATGTTTTATTCTGTTTAAAATATATTAAAAGGAATCGTAATATCGTCTGGTAATCTGAAATATAAAAACAAACGACATTAGTTGCGCTTAAAAGTAATATATAAAACATTTATAGGACTATCATCAGTGGGAGACAAAATTAATTTCAAAGCAACGCATGACTGAAGCTCAATGAGATTCCTACTCAAAATATCATCAGGACAAAATACATTCCAAATTACTAAAAAATATACACACCTTGTAAGAAATTAACCAAGAGTCTAAATATTCCTTGGGACAACTGAAATAAAATACAGATCTCATTAGTTGGGAATGTTATAACAATTCTTCGCTTTAAATATAGTTATAATCAGTAAGAGATTAAAAATTATTTCAAAGCAACGCATGACTGAAGCTCAATGAGATTCCTACTCGAAATATCATCAGAAAAACTACATTTTAAATTACGGATTACTAAATAGCATACACACCTTATAAGAAGTTAGCCAAGGATCCAGATACTCTTTGGAGCGACTGAAATAAAAAAAGAGCTTATTAGCTAGGAATTTAAAATATTGATCTCCTTTTTATAGAGGTTTCATCAGTTAGAGATTAAAATTAATTTCAAAGCTACGCATGACTGAAGCTCAATGAGATTCCTACTCGAAATATCATCAGATTATTTAATTGACAGCATTAATAAATTGCAAGTATAATCACCTTTTCTATCAGTGAGATTTATTCTTCTTTACTGGTAAGATAGCCTGCGATGAAAGAAAACGTTAAAACATGAAAGAGAAATGGCTAACATAAAACTTACCTTGGTTAATATGTCTTTCTCAAGTATATTAAATTGTCTGAAAGAAAGAAAACGCTAAAAAAAACATTAAGCCCACCCAAATTTAAAATCCACACTTAGTTTTTGAGTTGTTTTATTATACCCAGACAACTTTGAAACGTTCATCCTCGCTCTACCGTATCAGCTTAGCAATATTTTGTTTATAGAAGACTCTACATGTAAGATGTAGAACGCGATGCCCATTCCACACGTTACCGCAGATTGCACCGCTTATATGATGCCGATCTTGTTGGCAATGTCCAGAGCATCGTAGTCGCGCGCCAGGCGCACATAGGCCTTCTTCTGACCATCGGGGCGAATCAGCACGTTGACCTTGGCCACTTTGATGTCGTAGAGCTTACGCACGGCGGCACGCACGTGGTTCTTGTTGGCGCGCAGGTGTGTGAGGAAGACCAGGGTGTTGTTGTCCTCAATCTTCTTCATTGCTGCTTCGGTGGTCAGTGGATACTTAATGATGTTGTAGGCATCCATGCGGTTCCTGGTGGGCACCGACTTCCTGGGGTACTTGGGGTTCCTGGGCAGCTTCAGGGTTGTGGGCCGACGGAAGTGCACATTAGTGCGGATCTTACGGGCGCGGGTGCCGAAGGCGCCCTTGACGATCTGTTCGAAAAGAAAGGGGACAATGTGTTAATTTAGAAATTTTAGAGGTTAGCCTATTATATACCTTCTTCTGGACCTTCTTGGCGTTCAGCAAAGCCACAGCCTTAGCCTTGGCAGTGCCCTTAGCGGGCTTGGTGCCGGGCTTCACAGCCTTCTTGGCCTTGGCGGCAGCACGAGCCTTCGCGGAAAGCTTAGCCAGCACGGACTGGGGCTTCTTGCCAGCGAGGATCTTCTTCTTGGCATCCTTGCCCTTGGCCTTGGTTGCCACCGTCTTCTTCACGGCAGCGGGCTTCTTGGCAGCAGCACCAGCGGCAGCTGGCTTCTTCGCGGCGGCGGCAGCGGGCTTCTTGGCCGCTGGAGCAGCAGCCTTCTTGGGCGCAGCAGCAGCTGGTTTGGCGGCAGCCGGAGCAGCCTCCTTCTTGCCAGCAGCTGGAGCCGCAGCAGTCTTCTTCTGCTCTGGCTTCTTGTCGCCAGGCTTGGCTGTAAACAGATGAGCACGGAATCCGCATTAGTAAACATGTTTCGCCCACAAAGTTAGGTTAGGCCTGATCGATCAGCAAGGCGGCAATAAGACGCTCGTTAACTTAAATAAATCCGATATAATCACTTTGGCTTTGAAATTGACACTCTTTCAGTTTACTTGGGCCCTTTCAACACACACTTTAGCATTCACACGCAGAAACACCGCACGTGGCCGAAACTACAGGTCAACTGTTTAATGAGATTTTTGCCTTAAAATCACGGTTTTATGAGTATTTTTGATTTCCCGCTTGTGGTCTGTGCTTTCGCCTTGCATTTGCTGATCAATTCACGAAATTTTGTCTTATTTTTGTATGAAAAATCCTTACCGGATTTCTCGGTTGGCTTTTTGGGTGGCATTTCTACGAGAAAAAGAAATGAAAAGGAAAACTGAGGGGCAGTTGTCAAAAAGCGGAAGCCAAATTTGACAGCCGCGTGGCCAGATCGGCGATATTTCGCGCCTAACAGCGCGCTCTTTTTACACTTTACAGCACTTTTCAATTACTTAACAGTGGTGGAGGTGTTGTTATCTATACAATGTGAGCGCTCAACACAGCTGATTAAATGTACGGCAACACTGTTACTTGTTAATAAAATAACGTTAATATATAAATTCAAGTTTAAATTGAATGCAAAAGGGCCTTTATAGTGTAGTCGATTAAAGACGATTATCGATAGATATGAAAAGTTTAAAAACTAGAAAAGTATTTGAAATTTGTTTATATATTTCTTTATTAGGTAATTTTAACGACCTAACTTTAACTTAAAATATAAATTAGTAGTATATGGAAGCTAGCAAGCACAACCGATTTTCCCAGGCGAAAAGCGATTGCTAAAAAAGCTACGTAAATCTGAAATAAAGATTTTAAAGCTGAAGCTATATAAATAGTTATAAAACTTCCCACCAAAAGTTTGCGATTTAACGGAGGCTTGAGTTGCTTGTTCCTGTGGTTGATTCTTAGTTGCCTTTATTTCCTGCTTTACAGCTTCTTCAAATGCTAAGCCGGCTATCCTTTGAAAGAGTTCCGTTACTTTGAAACCAGACCGCGCTGAGACGGACCAATACTCCGCCTGAAGCTCGGCAGCTGCCACTCCGGCCAATCGTTCCATTCGTACGAAATCCTCCTTTGTCTAAAAATAATAATTAGTTTTCGATTTTTGATGGAAAAATAAATGTACCAAAAGATCTGCTTTTGTGCCCACTAAAAAAATCAAGGGTCTCTTGCTGGTATTGTAGTTCAGTGCGCTATTGAGCCACTTCTTAGCCGATTCCAGGGAATCCCTTTTCGACATGTCATAGGTAACCACTATCACTATATGATAAAGTCCATTAAATTAAAGTGTTCATTTTGTATACTTTCCGTACTTACCACTTGCATTGCGATAATAAGCACCTGCTATGCATTTAAATCTCTCCTGACCAGCCGTGTCCCACCTGAAATGAAATCATATTTCCAATCCAAGCGTATACTATGTCTTAGGGAGTTGAACTCACATTTCTAGATTGTAGTTGTGACCCAGGATGCTGAAGTTCTCCAGCTCAAAATCCACGCCAATGGTGGCTTTGTAATTTGATTGGAATTTGTCGTAGCAAAACCTGAGGATAATGGGTAATTTAATTCATTAAATTAAATTGAAATTTTCTTTTACTCACCGGTTGACGATGGCAGTCTTGCCAACGGCGCAATCGCCCACAAAGATGACCTTGCATGGTCGGAATTTGGGCTTACGCGGCGACTCCAGATGATAGCGAACCTGCGAGGCAAAGTCCCGTTCCCTGCTCAACGGAGTTTGGGCTGGACTGTAGGCCTGGGGCAGGTTCCTCAGGTGGGTGCGAGGATCGTGCATGACCACCGTGGGCGGATTCGGCAATAGCAGGTTCTGCCGCAGTCGATGAGGCATGGCGAACGTCTATATTTCAACTAAATGAGCAGTAAAAACTGGGAAAGCCAGCCACGTCGTCATCGCCTGTGCCGCAAACCACAAACTATGTCGGCGACGTCGGTGGTTTGAACTTGGTGGCTATCGCATGCTCAAGGTGCTGGAAGCCATCTTATCCCCCGGGCTGTATTTTGAATTTCAAATGCAGGTGATTGATAAGACTGGGGTATGAGTTAGTTCCGATAGGAAAAAGGCCTCAAGGTGTTAGCCAAGTTGAGCTTCAATGTTTAAGTGGCTTTGTGGCCATATCATGTAAGCAGTTGTGGCTAGAGTCGTAGCGACCCATATAAACTAATAACGTTTTTGAATATATATTTTGAAATACAGTTTCTTAAAACTTTTAAAAAATATTTATATAGTTCTTATTGTAAAGCATATTCTTGTTCACAGCTTAGGACTATTATCAAGCTCTGGTTTGCATCTTTCCTCCCGGATAGCCGAAGTATCCAACGCTCTTGACCTGCTTGCGGAGATCCGGCTGCATGGACAGGGCCTTGAAGATGGCTCTTTTGAGCTGCTTGTACTGAAAGTGTGGTGGGAATGGCATGTCCTCAAAGGACAACATGAGCAGGTTGCCAGCTTCATTTCCCACGGCCAACGAACGACCACAATGGGTGAACCTGGAATGCAAATCAATAGTAAATTATCTAGTAAAATGGTGAATGGATAGTACTTGAAGGTTGTGTAGAAGATATCAGCATCGATTACGGTTGACGACACCGGCTTCATGGTGCTGTTGCGCAGATCCCAGATATCCACAGTGCTTCGACTGAGAGAGACCAATATAGTGGAGTGGGTTCGGCTCCATCGGGCGCAGTGCACCGGAGAGAGGTGGTGTTGGAGCGTCACTATGGGTAGCAGGATTCCAGCTAACCAAATTCGAATGCACCAGTCACTTCCGCAAGTGAGGTAAAGCCTTGGAGACCAGGGTGAGAACTCCATGCAGCCGGCCGGACCGTCATGGACCTGTCTCAGTTCCATGTGCTGTAGGGGGTAATTCGTAGAGCACTTGTACATTGTTCCCTCGTCGGTCAGGACATAGTAAATATCAGCGTGCACGGGATCAAGCACTATCTCCAAGCATTGGGGATGCCTGTTGGCCAGTAACGAAGCCGCCGGCGGCTGTCGCTCAATGGGAATTCCCTCTAACTCGCCCTCCGCCCGCTGCAAACGCTGCTGTTCAAATCCCAGCATATTCGGACTGTTGATCAGCCGGTATTTTGTTACAGCTCCCGCTTGCGAAGTGGCCAAGAAGGGTGTGATGTGGGGGTTCCTGGATCCAACATCTCCCTCAAAATATATCCATTTTATGGCCGTAACTGGTTCAAAATGTGGTGAAGATGAACGTTGAGATACAGCTAATGCTGGGAGATCCTGACTAGAAATATCCCTGACCTCGACGCCTCCATTATGAAGACCAATGGCTAATAACTGAGGTTGAGTGGGGGAAAACTCCACCGTGACGACGGGAACTTGATAGTTGTAACGCCTCTCCGGGTTAACAGGGTTCTTGATGTTCCACACATAAACCCATCCGGATCTTGGCAACTTGCTGACCTTGCCATGGCTATAGACCCCGTAGGCCACCGCCATTATGTCACCATTACTTGGGCAAAAGGTTACATCGCTCACTGCCTGATGAACCTTGGGGTTGGATGAAGGTGGACTCAATCTCCACAGGAGTCCTAAGCGGTATTTGAACTTCACATCCTCAGCCAAAGGATCTGGTAGTGCCATATTCCTATACCTCCGCTGTTGAGGCTCAAAAACGTTGCTGGCCAGGATGCGCATGGTCAACATTAGAGCCAGTCGAAACCCAGGAAGACTGTTGATCCCCACGAACTGATCTACTCCGCCTACGTGATATGTGGTTATCTCCATCTTCTTCTCGCCCTGAACCTGGACACTCGTGGTGGATTTCTCCAGGTCAGTATAGGTGTCGTACATTTCAAAGTTGGAGACATAGGAACCCATCTGGGCAGTGGTCAACCGTTCGGTGTTTACCAGCCTGGATTTCATCAACGCTGTCATGGTTTGTGTGTCTGCATCCACAGATCTCCGTGTTTTATCCGTTCCAGCGAGGAGCTCCTCGTACTTCTGGTTATCTTCCATCACCTGGCGACCCTCTTCCGTGTCCGCCAAAGCGGTCATGCTGCGTCTTTCGAATAAAACCACTATGGGAGTCTTTCGGAGTAGTACTTTGATGAAGGGCGTGGCTGGCGGTCGAGCAGAGGGAGCTGAACGGGCAGACGCGGCCGGCTCCTTTAGGTAATTTGGTTCCTCTAGAGTGGGAGACATAGGCTTGTCCAGCTGCAGCTTGTAGAGATTGATCTGTACGAAAGGGATATGTGAGTAATGGTATATTTGGATCTTAGGGATATGAAAGGACCCACCCCCAAAGCGATGTCGTCTAGAGAAGCCCTCATCACGCACTTCGTCCGATACTCTGGAGTCCGCAGCTTTTGCATCTGCTGATGCTCCACTTCAGGAGTCTTCATCAGCGGATGATCCTTGATCATCTTGCTCAGCTGCTCAAAGTCCGCCGTGCGGTAATCCTTCCTCAAAGGCCGGGACATTTTTCTCGAATACTGGAAAGGAGCGCGTGCCGGCGTTTCCCCAACTTGTTTATTGCGGGTGCAGACATGGCAACACAATAATATATGGGTACTATAACTACCACGAGTCAGTTGCATCGGAGGGTGCTTCATATTACCACATGGAGTTCCATTAGCGGTCTTACACATGGCTGCTCTCTTTGCATCCATAAATATTTATAACACATATTTTAAATCACGCAACCAACATGCATAATAATTAGGTGCAGATGCAAACTCGAAATGGTTGTGGTAGGTAGGAGTTAGTGAGTTCGAATTGTACAAAAAATATGTCGTTATAGAAGAAATAAATTATACTAAAAAGTTTCTGTGGTCTAATATCTATTTAGATCCATTTCATAAATATCAAATCACAACTTCCATGAAAACCTTCTCTGAAAAGTAAACAAATCATTAAGTTGCTGCTGTGACCTGTCACAAGAAAAACCCCCGGACCGGTGAAAAGAAAAATAACAAGCTAGTTCCAACTTCAATCTACAAACTGGCAACAAATGAAATTCGTATTCCAATTAGACGCGTACCAAAAGCAATTTGCCGGTGCGATGGATATGTGTACATATATATGAGAGTAAAGGGTCTTTAATTCCGCCACATAGCCCGACAATGGCCGAAAGATGAGCTGGAAAGGAGGAAGCACTTGGCCGAATGTACGACTTCGAGCGGTAAGCCATGCAGTACAGACAAAGAAAATGTTTTAACTTATTAAAGATAAAATCATATATTTGAAACATATCTTATTTTGAGAAGACTTTAACATTCTTTTTGGTAACAATTACTTATTTGTTTAAACATTAATTTAAATATTGATTACAAAGAAGTATAATTTGTGTTAAGTGCAGATATAGAAGAAGTCGAAAAGAAGTTGCTTATGTTAATTTGGCTTTATGCTTCGCTACGCTGATTCGCTTAATGAACAGGCAGCAAATGGGGATGAGAATGAGGGTGAGAGGGGGCCAAAGTGGGGAGATGGCCAAGTGCAACATGTCAAATGGAGGGGCAACCGGGCAAATGATGGCCCAGCAGAACAAGCTGTGGTGAGTTTGGGCCAAAGCAGGAACCGTCAACGCATCAAAGCGTTAAGCAATAAATGTGCAGGCAACGAAAAAGAGTTAAGACCTAAATATGTATATCCAAGAAAGGCTAAAAGCAATAACAATGGGTTGCGTGCATTATGAACTCTGCACGAGCCAACGATCAGCAGTTGCTGTTGTTGTTGCTGCTGTTGGTTAATGATATTGTTGCTGTTACACATTTTGGAGCAGCAACAACCAGCGAAATTCACTGAACCGCCACCAACGCAACGCCAGCTGCGACGTCGACTTCGGCTGCGGCTGCGGCTGCGCAGTTCCTCACTGAACTAACCTGTCCATCTTCCAGGTGCCAAAGAAAGCATCTCAAGACAAACAAGTGTCATGTTTAGTCAACAAAATAATACTAGAAGTTCCAACAAAACTTTACTACTGATAAACAAGATATTAAAAATAATGATATTTAAAAATAATAATCATTTTGTAATGGCAATTTAATTGACTTGTCACCTTGTAGACAAGCAAACAGCTTTTAATGCAGCCAGTTTTTAGCCATGTTTACAAACTGCTTGTGAAATAATTAATATTTTTTGTCGCCACATGATTCTGGGCCCCATATGACAGGTTTAGGCCCTGTCCAAGACCGATTCAAGGGAAATAAAATGCTCGTTTTTTACGAACATCTAATTGTGTCCACACCCTGGAAACCCATAAAACCCTCGTTGTTTATCTCGATCTCATACGAGTGTATGTCGTTCATTCTCATTCATATCGGTTCGGTTTTTACACCTGTTTTATGTCCCCACTGGCCCCAATGTGCGATGGGCAACGCCGACTTCGACTTCGACTTCGTCTGAGCCGCCGACTGCGACGCCTCGAGTTTTGGTGTAACATATTTTCTTTTTCGTTTTTATTGTGGCACGGAGCGTGGAAGACTAAAAAAAGAAGCGGCGGCGGCAGCGCTTAAGCCGAGCTCGGAGATTTTTTCGTAACAGAAAAGCGACTTTTTATTCGTTAATTAACCGTCGAGCGGGCCAGAAGTCCGAGTTCGTGAGCTCGAGAGGAAGGGGCGTGAAAAACGCTTAACGGAAGTGCAGAAACCGGGTAGTTAATTGAGCACACCTCAAGCGACTGGGTGTTACCTGACACTCCATTTGGCAAAAACAAATCGAAGTCGCTCCATATACATAACTTTCTTCAGAAAAGCCGGGTGTTAATGTCTCAATTTGTCGTGCGACTTTGGCAACTGCAGTTGCCTTCCAACTCTCAGCCGCGTTACCTTCGCCATCGTGTGAGCTTGTGGCGCGTGTGCCGAAATCTGGGGAACTCGGATTCTTAGTGAGTGATTCGAGATTTATGCTAATCAGTGGCGAGAATAACTAACGCTCCGGGCGTCAAGCGTTAACAGCATTTCGCAATAGACCCCAATAGACACCCGCATAACCTGAAACGTGCTCACATAACGAAACCAATCAGCAGACAGATCTTATCAGGCCCGCAAAATGTTGTTTTGGAAGAGGCGTCTTCAGCGATCGAGCAGCTCTTCAAGCAGTAAGTCCAACTATCTCACATAAGGTTCAAAGACCACGCCTCCAACGCCCACCTGGCAGTGGAACTGGGATTGGGCAAGAAGAAATATGATTTCGCCGGGCAGGTGAATTTCGTTTTCAACCCGAACCCGAATGTTTCGTCTGGCCTCACACTTCGATTCGTCTCATCTGCATAATTTGCATCTTAAAAATTATTTCTGACTCCGATTCGGTCTTGTTGTGGCCACCGACTGGTTTATTGATTTTACGATGGTGATTCCCTTGCCCAAGATCGCGAGTGAGCCGAAGATCATAAATAAACCCTGCTGGGCTGTGTCACCCACAAAAGACCTGGACAAATACAAATGAGAGCGAGAGCCCCGCGGGACATGAATAATAGCTCATATCTCATTATCAAAATTCTCACCGAGGTGTTCCCTTTGTGAATGATGCTTGCCAAAAAGATTTATGAATGGATTTAATGTGTTTAGCATAATTATGCAGATCACCGCAGCGGAGATAATATCTCACTAAGGCGGGGACTGGCTTTAACTCGGAGAATAAACAGCTTGAAGGCAAGAAGAGCTGCGAAGATTTGACAGATTCACGATTAGTTGGATAAAGACTTGAGAGGTTCGAAGGGCTCAAAGTATGCTCAAATTTCCTCAGAAATCTTGTTTTAACTACGCTTCTCTGCCAGCAATAATATTTCCTCACATCATTTTAAGTTTGTCAATACTTTGCGGTTAGAGTTGACTTAAACTTAAAGTAAATTTTTGATATTACTTGCCTTACTTTTTCCGTTAACTTAACTCTTTATATATCATGTTATGAAAGCTGTTGATGTACATAATGCTATGGGCATTGTTCCCTTATTAACATTTCTTTCATCTTGTGAAAACCCAAAGCCCCAAGTTAGGTGTCATAACAGATTTGTCCCGATGGTCAACAAGGTGTAGCCGAGAGCTAGCATCTCCAAGGAACTCTCTGGTGCGTCGGATTCCCCTGCCTTGAATTAACCCTTTCCCCCACATTTTTGTGGTTGCGCCTGCGCTTCTCCCATTTCATTTCTGCTCCATAACTTTCCAACTAAGTGCCGACTATCTGTCTGAGCCGCTGGAGGTGGGGTCTGCGTTCTTGCTGGGGTTTTATTTTGGAGAACATGACTTTGACTTGTGGTAATTTGATGTTAATGACAATCATCAGCAGCGACACAAATAATAACAACAGAAGACAAGAAAAGGTAGAAGTGATATCCACACCGCCGCCATATAAACATAGTGGCAGTCGGTGGCCCCTCCTCCTCGGCCACGGAGCACGCTTAACACGATTCCGGAGATCTCAGCCAGAGACATTTTTATGTGCGTTCCGTTCCGTTCCCGAAAGTCGTGGCCTATAATCGGCTTACCCAGAGTTCTCATCCCCTCTCCACAGTTGACACTTTTGGCTATTTCGTCCATTTAGGCATTCGTGTTATTAGTTCGTGCCCAGGGTCTTCTGTTTTCTGTCCGCTCCTTATGAACTCCCCATCAAGTTGCTTGTTTTATGGCTTCTTGTGGCCCAGTCCCGTATTAAAAAAATGAGTTCAGCGTTTTGTTGTGACACTTTAATGGCCTGCCCTGGCCCTTTCCCCTCGAGATGGTTATCAATATTACAAAATAGTTTTCGGTCAGCTTGGTCGAAGCGTGCTGGATGGGATTGGAATGGTAAGAAGGCTGGAGGTTCTAAGCCTTAAGACTGTGCTCAAGTGGAACAGTTTAAATTACCATAAATTGTGGTTTCCTAATTTTGTAAAATCAGTTACATATTGCTTCTCTTACTCTGATTTCGCTGCCTCCAAATAAGAACAGATTTTAATCAAAAATAATAGAATTTGAGAGTAGTTTTTTATAAATTCCATTTGCAAATCTTTCACTTAGCTTCTTTAGTTTTTTAGGACACCACATTTCATAAGTGGTTTAATTCCCATAAATTCCATTTATAGATCTTTCACTTTACCGCTCCCCTGCCTGCAAAGCCCACTTCCAAGTTCTTTGGGTCAGTCTCCCCCGCCATCTGCGCACATTCCGCGCGATGGAGCCTCGAAAATCGTCTGCAAATTGCTCATAAATTACATGAAAAACCGTCGCAATGCCAAAAGCTGCACCTACACCATCATTATCAGCTTGTAAATAAAAAGACTTTATCAATCGTTAAGCCGCGGGCGGAGGCTCTCGATCCGGAGCCGGTGTCCGGGATCCGAGTTCCCAGATCCATGGAGCTCCGTTCCGATTTGGGCCCCGAAAGCGACTCTCTCACCTAATAACATAAAAGTTGTCAGAGGGAGGAGATGAGATGAAGATGGAGCGAGTGCAGGCGAAGGTGGAACCCCAAACCAATACCATTACGAGTACCGGGCTGAGTCCCAGGCTCCGCTGCGGTCAAGTACAAATATTTTTATTTATGATTTTACAGATCAGCATATTGCTCAATAATTTCACCGCAACGGCAACAAAATAACTTTCAAATTACGCCTGCCGAGGGATCCTCGCTTAAGTGCGCCAATTTTGAGATTATTATTGCCGGCTGCGTATGCAGATAATCGTGACCTGAACCTTAAGGACGGGCTGCCCATAATTCAACCAGTTCGAAATACCAAGAGCGAAATTACCGGCACTGTGGCCAGGCCGGGATTATCGCGCCAAAAGTGCTGGTAGATAAGAGATGGGGACCAGCCCCTTAACTTATTTAATTACTCTATTTGGGTTAGTTGTGGCCCCAAAAAAGTAGTTTGTTTGTCTGTTAGGTTAGGATCAGCACGCTCTCGGTTATTTGGGGCAGCTTAATATTTTCCCATAAATTATTCGGGGCTAAGAGAAAATTACTTTAAAATTTATGGCCCCAGAAGAGGTCCGACCCGGCATCTTACACGCTGATTTGGCCCTTTTATTTTCGGCAGGCTGGCTGGTTTCTCTCTTTCGCAATCGAGGTCTGGCTCCGAGGATCTGAGAACAGGTATAGTTCGTCGTGGTGCCCTGGCTGCAATGATATCCGCGTTCCGAGGGGGCGGGTCCCTGGAAAGTTCGCACGATTGATGATCGACTGGCCACTCTGGGCCAGTCCGGGATGGAGTTCCAGATTCAGATTTAGGAGCCCAGGGATCCTCCGATGACGCCGTCCTGTCACTGCACTGACATCGCCGTTTATGTAATTACCGCCAGCCGCTCTCCGATCACAGAGCCATCCCGATCCCAGCAGATCCCACCCGATCCGATCCAATCCGATATGATCGCGATCGCACACACAGCTTTAGCTGCGGTTGGGGCCCAGCTTGTAATTATTTTCTACTTAATCTTCATCACATGTGAAACATGTCGAAAAGTTAAGCGCTCGGCATGAGGCGTTGCCTCCACTCCGCGGACCACTCCCCACTGGCCATTGGGAATGGTGCATTGTCGGGGATGCATTTCATCGGATTTCACTTGCACTCGCGCCGAGTGGAACTTCCATGGCCATTTCCAATTGCTAATGACTTCAGGAAATTGCCAGAACGGGAACTACGATTTTGAGGAATTTATTAAACGAACTCTTCCCAAATTTCACGCTTGTCAGCGGGCTTTGGTGTGAATTTGGTTTTAAATTGGAAACCAACTCTGAGGAGGGGCTAGTCTGGAAGTGTTTTTACAATATTTAAAACTATCATGTCATACCATTATTACAGTTTATCTTAAAATTAGCACACGTACGTGCATGCTTTCAGATTATATGTTGAGATATTTACAATCTAGAGATGCCTCCAATCCGAATAAGATTTTGAGATACGGCTGATACACCGGATGATATCTCTGTCGTGCTCTCAAGCCCCCACAATAATTTATTCGTTTTTTATGATATGACATTTCGGCTGCAAGTGCATAATAAGCGCTTTTTTATTTCCTCTGTTAAACGAGCGAAGAGCAAAGCTTATAAACATGCATTGTGCCCCACAAAGAGGGCCACAAAGTGGCATGCATGGGCATTCGGGAGATCACGTAATCGTCTGGCAGTCACATGGAACCGTGAGCATCCAATCCCAATCCCAGCCTGGAAGTGCAATCTGTTATCTTTCACTGCCTCCCTGCTGGGCAAAGTGAAAACGAAATGGGCAGTGTGCGTGCAGCAGATCACGCCCCTTCTCTTGCATCTGCAAGTGCATACCAACTATATATATGCTATATAGGTATATATCAGGTGGATGTCGAGCGTCTCACATGCAGATGAAGGAGCCGAGATTTGGCCGAGGGTGGGTCAACCTCTGACCGAATTTCCAGCGATAATTATCGGCTGGCGTGCAAATATGCGGAAAGAACGCTCGCTGGGCATTCGCATTCTGCTCGGTCGTGTTTTCGAATCTCTCGCGCTTTAAATGGAACTAATTAAATTCGGACTCCGAGAGCGTTGAATTTCATGTGTGAGCCCATAATTGGGGCTTGTAAAGCCGCCGGGAAACGCCCACAACAACGCATATGGAGTTCCCGACCGATTTAGCTCTAATATACTGCCCCCTCTCCCCAATCTCAGCTCCCACTTTGCACTGATTTAGTGTCATATAAAGTTGTAAGTGAAGATTATGTTACCAGAATTAATTGCAGCCAAGGTGAAGGTAACCAGGCTGGCATGGGAGTGGAAACGAGGGCAGGGTCCCTGGAGAAAGAGAGACTGCGTCCCCTTTGTCAGACCCATTCTCCGCCTCCACCTCCATCTCCGTCTCTGTCTGGTTCTGGTTTGTCTTTGTACCTCCGCCTGTCTTCCTGCTGACAGCACGTGCTGAAGTTGTTTCCCCCTCTCCAAGTCCCTGCAATGGGTATCCCCTGGCCCTGTCTGGGCCTGTGAGTTTTCTGTCAGTGTTGTCAAACAATAATGGCTGAAAAGAGCCAAGGGAAGGCCACTAAAAAGCTGAAATATACTTAATATAAGTGAACTCTAAACCAATAAGAGCTAAACCCTATTCCTTCTGTAGGAGGATTGAGTTGCTTTAAAGAAATCTGATTAAAGTAAAAGCTT